CACATGGAGTGCCGGTCACCCTATCACAAACACCTGGTACAACACAGTCCGAGTTGATGACGGGTGTCACATGGAGTGCCGGTCACCCTATCACAAACACCTGGTACAACACAGTCCGAGTTGATGACGGGTGTCACATGGAGTGCCGGTCACCCTATCACAAACACCTGGTACAACACAGTCCGAGTTGATGACGGGTGTCACATGGAGTGCCGGTCACCCTATCACAAACACCTGGTACAACACAGTCCGAGTTGATGACGGGTGTCACATGGAGTGCCGGTCATCCTATCACAAACACCTGGTACAACAGAGTCCGAGTTGATGACGGGTGTCACATGGAGTGCCGGTCACCCTATCACAAACACCTGGTACAACAGAGTCCGAGTTGATGACGGGGGTCACATGGAGTGCCGGTCACCCTATCACAAACACCTGGTACAACAGAGTCCGAGTTGATGACGGGTGTCACATGGAGTGCCGGTCACCCTATCACAAACACCTGGTACAACACAGTCCGAGTTGATGACGGGTGTCACATGGCGTGCCGGTCACCCTATCACAAACACCTGGTACAACACAGTCCGAGTTGATGACGGTGTCACATGGAGTGCCGGTCACCCTATCACAAACACCTGGTACAACACAGTCCGAGTTGATGACGGGTGTCACATGGAGTGCCGGTCACCCTATCACAAACACCTGGTACAACACAGTCCGTGTTGATGACGGGTGTCACATGGAGTACCGGTCACCCTATCACAAACACCTGGTACAACACAATCCGTGTTGATGGCGGGTGTCACATGGAGTGCCGGTCACCCTATCACAAACACCTGGTACAACACAGTCCGTGTTGATGACGGGTGTCACATGGAGTACCGGTCACCCTATCACAAACACCTGGTACAACACAATCCGTGTTGTTGACGGGTGTCACATGGAGTGCCGGTCACCCTGTCACAAACAGTCACTATCACAAACACCTGGTACAACACAATCCGAGTTGATGACGGGTGTCACATGGATTGCCGGTCACCCTATCACAAACACCTGGTACAACACAGTCCGTGTTGATGACGGGTGTCACATGGAGTGCCGGTCACCCTATCACAAACACCTGGTACAACACAGTCCGAGTTGATGACGGGTGTCACATGGAGTGCCGGTCACCCTATCACAAACACCTGGTACAAACACAGTCCGAGTTGATGACGGTGTCACATGGAGTGCCGGTCACCCTATCACAAACACCTGGTACAACACAATCCGTGTTGATGACGGGTGTCACATGGCGTGCCGGTCACCCTATCACAAACACCTGGTACAACACAATCCGTGTTGATGACGGGAGTCACATGGAGTGCCGGTCACCCTATCACAAACACCTGGTACAACAGAATCCATGTTGATGACGGTTGTCACATGGAGTGCCGGTCACCCTTTCACAAACACCTGGTCTCATAACTGTGATAGGTATTCATAAAACGGGAAAAGTAAAATCAACTCTTGTTTAGGCAGTGATGTTCTGTGATCCATGGAAAAGGTTTTGTCTATTTGTCTTAGTAAAAGGAAAATTAATTTTTTCCATGACTAAAGAATCCCACTTTGTCAGATAGTAGCTTGGCGCAGATATGTGACGTTAGTATTTCCAGTCTTCTGAATCAGAATTCGAACCGGACCTATGTTTGACGTCAGCATACCTCTGACGTGTACACTGACCCTCTGACCGACCCTCTGGGCAGTGTTATAGTGGTCACGTTATGATGAGGGCTGGTTGGTCAGTGAAATGTGCTGGCTGAATTACACGGCGTGTTATTTCCTATGTTAAAGTGGGAGTGACCCAGAATCAAGTGGATTTAGGTCATCTGTGTCCAAATGGCGTACTGTATGGGGATGACCGTATATTAATGTTACACAGTACCATTTGCTGCAGAAAGGTAACAAGTTTATCCCGTGGACATAAACTATAGATCTGACCACCTCCGTGCTAGTTGTCAACAGTAATATCAGAGTGGGTAGAAACGAACCAATGGGTCCGAAACATAAAAATGATATGTGTATCTATTAAAACGCGAGTTTTGGGTAATCAGCTCGCTTGGCAAGAGGTCTGCTCATACCAACCCACACACAACACAACACCTGAGTAAATAAACAAGGAGTTTGTTACACAGCAGTCACTGAACGATTTTCATAATCAGTCAATAATAGAATGGTTTACAATTAATTATTAGAACATGTTCACAATGCAATCAGATATCAAAGTACATGTAGATTCGTTACACACGACACATACTACATTCATCACGATACATATTCCAATGTACACAACAATAGTTCAATATTCTACAATACAATCTACATTATGTAGCAGTCACAAGACAGCATAGTGTTCACAACGTAATACTACAGTTAAAATATCCGACACACTCTATACATTCTATACTAGTCACAAAACAGCATAGCATTCACAACGTAATACAATAGTTAAAATATCCGACACACTCTATACATTCTATAATAGTCACATAACAGTGTAGTGTCAAAGATCAGTATGAAATAAACAATCCCTTGGCAGCTTGAAGATTGTGAAACGTGGTCAGTTAATCTGTACATGTCCAGTTTTCAATAATATATACTGTCATAAATATACATGTGTTAATATATCGGTTGAATCTTTATTTCTGATGTGTAGGCCAGAGGCCCGTCGTCCAAGTAAAAACGGTAATAATGGGTGAGTGTTACAATCACATATGCGTTTCGACATGCAAGGTGTATATACGAGCAAAATCCTGAAGAAGCTGGACATTTTCGATTAGCATTAGTACAGAGAATTAGTAAAATGTGGGGCAGGACGTATATTTAGATGTGATATGATAGCTCCTTAGATCTGTATACTGTAAACAGATATGAAGAACGTGATATTCATTTTCAATATTATCCCTGTCACAAGTGATGCAGGATTGGTTCTCAGTAGCATGACATTTTTATAAAATACATTAATTTATTTAAATATATAACTGTTAAATACTTATTGTATGAATATGTTAAAAAAGAATTGTTGTTTAAACAAAGAATACGAATATGAAATTTTTCCAGTTTGAATATTCCTAGTCCACTCTTGCTGGAAGCATTCCTTACATCTTTGTTGAACAATGGATAAAAACCTGTGACATCCCCAATTCCCTGTCCAATCCGGTCATATGCAAGACCCAATTGAAACAGTGTATTTTAATTTGGCATAGCACTGTTATGTTTATTTCTAGCATCACTTGCATTTTCAACCAAATACAATGACATCTTATAGTTTTTTTTATGCACAGGAGTGAGGACAACTTGAGATGAGTTTCAATTGATATAAGATAGAACGTTTCAGTGCCAAGAGATAGCTTGGGTATGTTCGGCATTCACCTAGTACAATATCACTAGTTGTGGATCTGCTGATGCCCAGAAAACATTTACATGTTTGCAACTGAGTTTCGTAATGCATTTACACCTTTGAATACCCCATACCTCGGAACCATACAACATCATGGGCAGGATCAACCTCTCCCTTCTAGAAGGTCTGCCTCCATATTTCAATACAACAATTCTTGTTTTGTTTAAACTTACATGAATATTCCATGTTTCAAAGTAATTTGCTAAAATATCATTTTGCCTTTGGAGTTCAATCACAGTATCAGAAAAGACAACAGCGCCATCAGCAAATAAGAGAAGGAACAGCTGGAGTACGTCAGGGAATAACTGAACGTGGAAGTGGAAGTGGAAGTGATTTCGTTAAGCAAGTCATGAATGAAAAGTGAGAAAAGAAACGGACTAAGAACACAATATTGCCGTACCCTAGAGGACATTCAAATACTTCTGTGTTTACGTTATTCGATGTACCTACACAGGCTTTCACGTTTTGTTACACAGACCGCTAAACCTTATTCATTTTTTAACCAAGTCCGTTCTTTTTGAATCAGGGCTTTTGTGTCATCTTTGTTGGATGCCATGTTTTAACCTTCAGTTTATGTTACATGTAACAAGGTGTGCACATGAACGTTGTTGTCATGTGACATTCCGCTGAAGGCTATGACGGTGCGTGTATGCGGAGGTTGATGAATGACTATTCCTACACAGCACAAGCTTACTAACATAACGGATGTCCCCAAATACATCAATATTTTTATCGGAGTATTAATATAGTGGTAGGCCACAATATCCTCCATATGGAATTCAACGTGAGAAAAGAGTCAGTAATGTCCTTGACATGGAGTAACATCCTGTTATAACATTTTGAGGTTCTAATCACTGGTCAGTCGGTAGCACACAACTTTACAAGACACACAGTTGGTAAATAAATAGCTGTTTTGTTAAACTGACAAGACTTTCAACAGATATATCCTTAGCCAGAGATGTGATACATTTTGATGATAGTCTTGAGATGTATCGGCAGACATGCTACGAGTTAATATTGACGAGAGGTCAAAACAAAATGACGTCATAATGGCCATTCACGACAAGCAGTATTTCAATGACTCATGAGATATATAGACATGGTGCCCTGGCTGAAAGAATCAAGGTTACAAAGCCAGTTTACCAATTAAAATAAAATTAAAATACTTTTGGATTTCCCACCGAACAATGATGAAGCAATAAAGACCTTCTTTTAGAATCCACTATTTATTTAACATGTGAACAATAACAATGACAGAAACAATAACTTTGCAAAATAAGACAGGTGAACAGAGTGATCCTGGACATGGAATGATGTCCTTGAGCAAAATGAAAAATGTTTGGGAAAAAAACATTCATATAACCTATAGTGAACTTGATACGTTGGAGGAATAAATATCACAACAAACATGAGGCAATAAATACAAAATTGTACATTTTCAAACTTCACACATTCATAAAAAATTAAGTAAAAGGAACAATTCATGCTTAAATACATGGACATGGATTAAAGGAAAGTGTTGGTGATGTGTGAAGAAAATATGTTATTTCCTGGACGGAAATGCAGCGTTTGAACAATAAATATGTAGTTTAACGGGATGATTGTCAGACACTGACTTACTGGGTATTTCCTCACTGGAAATGTTTCACTGTAAGAAGACATCATCAATTTGTGACATCGCCTTCAAGTCTCCCGTCTATTCGGCACATGCATAATCCCCACAATCGCTTCCACCGTCTGATGCTGTCGGGGTGGTGTTGGAACCCACTGTTGGTGTCCGACGTTTGGCACAAGTACACCCAACGAAGTGTGTAATGAGTTTGGGTTTGTAGATAAAGAAACCATTTTCACAACCAGTTTGTTCTAAAACTCGGATTTGAGTGGAAACTCTCTCGCACTGGTTTTGGCTATTGTCAACGCACTTGTCACACTTACACACGGCCTGGGGGATGGCACTTGGGTAGTGACCGACGGGGAGGTTGGTGACGTTGTAGTACCAGGGACAAAGGGATCTCCTCCACAGGGGGTCGTTAGGGTCGTCACTGACGCTGCTGGGACAGGTGATGCCGTCGAGGTTGGAACTGTCGAATACCTGGAGGGTGTTCAGCTCTCCATGTAAATAGGACCCTGGTCTGGCACCTTGAGCGTTACGAAGAAAGATGGAGACGTCGGTGTTGGCGTTGAGACTTTGGAAGAGTTGGTTGATATCTTGAAGTGGTTGACAGTTGGCGACGTTACGACGTTGTCTGACCTCGTGTTTCCAGGCGTCGTCAACAGGTAGAGCGGACGTAGAGAGGATCCCTACACACATCAGAACACAAAGCTCATAAATCATGTTGGAAATGGAAAACTTTCAAGAGAAATGTGAGTGAAGTAGGGAATGATTTGTTGATCAGCAAAGGCTTGATGTATTGCCTGTTATGTGTCTGTCAACTATCCGTGGTACATTATATACAGAAGCAAATCCGGTGGGGAGTCCCTTAGGCTAAATATACATTTGTCGCACCATCAGTGTAATATGTGGCATCACCTGTCCCAGCAGCGTCAGTGACGACCCTAACGACCCCCTGTGGAGAAGGTCCCTCTGTCCCTGGTACTACAACGTCACCAACCTCCCCGCCGGTCACTACCCAAGTGCCATCCCCCAGGCCGTGTGTAAGTGTGACAAGTGCGTTGACAATAGCCAAAACCAGTGCGAGAGAGTTTCCACTCAAATCCGAGTTTTAGAACAAACTGACTGTGAAAATGGTTTCTTTATCTACAAACCCAAACTCATTACACACTTCGTTGGGTGTACTTGTGCCAAACGTCGGACACCAACAGTGGGTTCCAACACCACCCCGACAGCATCAGACGGTGGAAGCGATTGTGGGGATTATGCATGTGCCGAATAGACGGGAGACTTGAAGGCGATGTCACAAATTGATGATGACTTCTTACAGTGAAACATTTCCACTGAGGAAATACCCAGTAAGTCAGTGTCTGACAATCATCCCGTTAAACTATATATTTATTATTTAAACGATGCATTTCCGTCCATGTATGAAATATCTTAATTTCTTTATACATCAACAACACTTTCATTCAATTCACTTTCAAGTATTTATTCATGAATTGTTGTTTTTACTAAATTTATTATGAATGTGTTATTTTTACATGTACATTAATATATGTATTGCCACATGTTTGTTGTGATGTTTATCCCTCCAACGTATCAAGTTTAAAGTATGTTATATAATTGTATGTTCTCAAACAGTTTTCATTTTGCTCAAGGACATCATTCCAGGTCCAAGATCATTCCGTTCACCTGACTTATTTACAAAGTCATTGTTTAGTCATTTTATTGTTCACATGTTGAATAAATAGTGGATTCTAAAGAAGGTCTTTATTGCTTCGTCATTGTTCGGTGGGAAATCCAAAAGTATTTTACTTTTCCCATTACTCATGCTGATGATATGGTTGAATTCGTCCGACGACTGATTTCCGATGATTATTATTATTATTATTATTATAGGATATTTATATAGCGCACCTATCCACGCACTAGTGCATGCTCAAGGCGCTGGTATTTTTTCCCTCGATCATTGGATCTCAATATGAACTGCACATCGTATTAGCAATCTCAACTCCCTGGGGAGTATACAACTCTTGCTGCCACTAGGCGCACCGAGTTATTTGGCTTTCTCATCCTAACGAGGTGATGGTTAACTGACATTGTAACCTTAATTCTTTTAGCCAGAGCGCCTTATGTATGTCTATGTATCTCATGGGTCATTGAAACACCACTTGACGTGTATATCCATTATGACGTCATTCGTTTGACCACATGTGAATATTGACTCTCAGCATGGTTAAATACCTGGATATGCACTTCAAAACTTTAATCATATCTGTCATATCTGTGGCTAAGGATATATTTGTTGAAAGTCTTATCATTTCAACAACATAGCTTTTTATTGACCAATTGTGGTCTTTGAAAGTCCTGTTCAAACGATTACCCAGTGAAGATAACCTCAAAATGCTATAATAAGATG